TGGCCAGTAACTCTGTGGGATGTAGAACACGAGTTGGAGGAGGATTTGTAGACAATAATTGTTATCTATTGTGTAGTTGCCGGGACGTCAACAAAAAATAATGTACAGACATGGGATAGGCTGGAGAACGCCAAAAATTGCTGTTAAGCAGCTTGTCGATTTTGGTTTGTTTGGCCCATACCTTCAGTTAGTCTGGTTTACAAAAGCGGAAAAGTCTGGCCCCTGTGTATAAAAAGGCCAGCTCACTATTTTTTTTTTTTTTTGACTTCCTGACGCACCCTGAAGGAAGCCTATCCAGCTGTTGTGGCTCTACACATTGGGCTAGCCAGCATGGGTGACTGCAGGGGAAGGCCGGTTGTCTGACTGATTTCGCGTCGGTGGTATGTTTCCATAGTTAGCCCTGAAATTGTATCTAGTTGTTAAACTGTGTAATATGTCGGGGTGTATTCTCGCTAGGATGGCAGGTCGCTATAAGTGATTTGTTGGTCTAGTGACATATTGAAGCTTAACGTACATGTTAAATATGTTTTGGTTTTTGCCATTGTTGAGGTAATCTCGCTGGGCGTATGGTGTCATTATCATATTTCCTTGTTAGCTACAGATGATTAGCACTTCAGATTCTGGTCGAGCACGTTGGTTGTTGTTAATGTATTATTTGTGAAGTAGACATTAATTTGGTGTGTTCAGTTCAGTGAAATAAACATCTGTTTAATGTGATGATTATAATTAATTTGCTTGATTTAATTTAGGATCTTTAGTCTGCGCACATGGTTCGTCTAGGTGTATGTAACCATGTAGTTAGGTTGTCGTCAGGTAACTCACTATGTAGATATTCTCTGTGTGGGTCTCAGTGAATCATTCTAGGATCCCTGCACAAAAGTTACCCCTTGTCTTTTCTTTACTTTCCTTTTTTTTGCTGTTTAGCGGGGAACTATTACATTTTGTCCCAATCACAATTTTCCTTTCTCTCCCCTACTTCTGTGTTTTTCGGTCCCCCCCCCCCCCCCACCCATTAGCACAGAGATAAAAAAAAAATTTCATGTAAAACTAAGATTCGATTGCTTAGAGCACTAGCTATTAGTATATTTACAGATAGCTGTGAAACGTTGACCTTGACAGCTGAACTTGAAAGAAAGATACAAGTACTAGAAATGCGATGTTTCAGCAAAATTCTTGGCATATCATATAGAGACCACATTACAAACGAAGAGGTTCGCCATAAAATTAAACAGCACACTGGCAACTATGAACCTCAGTGAAAAGGCGAAAATGCAATGGTATGGACATGTAATTAAGATCTAAGGGCCTCTCAATAACAATACTGCCGGAGAACGGGCATGCAACCATGAAGTCCATCGCAACTGACCGTAAAAGGTGGAGAGAGATGACCGGACAGTCAAAAGAAACTGGTGACCCAATGACACGTAGTTTTACGGGATGATGATGATCTTCATATGCCTAATGCGTCACTGACGTGTAAAAGGACCTTTACTTATTAACCCACACTGGACTTTTTTTTCCCCCGTCAGGGAGATACGGTAAACCTTTTGGTAACATCCTGGAGGGGACACATAGGTCGATCGATTATTAATCATATAACTTTTAAATACTGAAAGCTATAAAACATGTATACTTTCTTCATGTACTACTTACTGCCGCTGCTAATACTACTTCTCCTGCTACTACCACCATTACCATCATCAAGCTTTTTGTTTTTTCCTAGGAGAAAAAAGGTGCCCGTACTCACCAAAAAATTACTATTACAGTAGCACTAAGATAAATATGAGACTAGCGTAGCCTGTTGCCATAGAACTTGTGGTGCCTTCTGCTATATTTTGTGTGCAACTGTCAGTATGTTGTAATTACTTCTTCCATCGACGATGAAATGTGATTCTAGTGGCCCACTGTTTGTTTTGACACTCTGACGGCGGTCGTATGCATTCAGTGCATATATGTCTTTACTGGCTTTGCTGAGACTGCAGTCTCTGTCAAATTTTTTTCTCCAAGGGACGATTGTAGGCATTCTGGGTGGTCTTCACTGGCACAAAACCAGTGTCTGTGTGGTGGTCATACGTTTGTCATGAAGTTGGAGCTGCGATTAACTTATTTTCGCTGGAAGAAAATGATGCCTGAAAAGATGGCACCCAATACCGCGCGTACCACCGTAGGGAGGAGGGCAATACTCCGTTACTGCTGCTTCTATTGCTGCTACTGTTTTTACTACTGAGAATGAAAAACAACGTCTAGATTGAGATACAAGATGATCTTCTCGACTTTAACTTAATATATGAAATACAAGGAACTCTAGAAATGTTATACAAATGATTTATTATCATCTTTAGTATAAAATCAGATTTCTGATTATATGAATAAAAAAGCATCTGGATGGATAAAACATTGAATCATTAACGGTTTACCGGTCAGTATAAACACTAACATGTAAATGAACTATGTTTCCACTGTGGCTACCTGGTCTTAATAGGGTCTTGCCAGTCACACCACCACCGTGATTTCCATGCCTCCTTATAGCATAATATAACATTATTGGCTGGAAAGGTGCCAACAACAAGTAAGGGTATGATATGAGGCCAACAATTTCATTGAGCAAATGGCATTTGAGAAGTGTTATGGTCAGAATCCTCTTCTTTTTTTTCTTTCTGTCTGTGGTTTTCAGGTGAAAAGCCTCTATTAAGTCTGTGGAGCAACTCATGTCTTCCACTATTCCAGCAGCTTGGTTTCCACTGGAATGCTAACCGGTCGAATCTAGGATATCTCTACTGCAAGCAGAGAGCATGTCTGGGTAATTTTCAGGTTTTCATCCGATCTCCTCGGCTGCGAGACTTGGTAGGGAATTCCTAGGTCCTATAGTATAGGGGGATTAGGGTTAGTTTCCTTGTTTTCTTCTTCTTTTGCTCACCTTATTATCTTATCTGAGGCTGCGACAGTCGCCATGTATGCATACTCGTCGGTAGGGTTAGATACAGGAACACTGACAGGTCAAGCAAATTCACAGTGAAGGTGAAGTCTCACAAAGTAAGAACACTACTTGCAAACAGGGCACAGTGATGGCAATGAATGAAAAACAGTAACACACACTGGAATCGATGATGCAATAAACGATGAATATGCTGAAAATAACCAACACATGACACGCCAAGAACACAGTAGTTTTCGTGTCCTAGAGTTTCTGTTAAAGAAACACTGACTAACACTAACCCCCAATCCCCCCATACTATAATACCTTCCGGTGAACTACATAGGAATTCCCTATCAAATCTTGCAGCCAATGAGATGGGGTAAAAAAAGCTGAAAATAACCCATGCTTGTAAGCACTTCAGGTAGTAATTGTGTGGTGGCATAGTTTTCAGGTTCTGCTGTTACACTTTTAGTCCTTCTTCGAATCAGCGCCTCTGACTTTAGTATTAGTACTCTTTTCTGTTAGGATGAGCTTCCTTAGATGGATCGCTGTCCCAAGCTGATAAGCTCCATCTGCCTGGCATAAGGTCAGTATGATTCCAGCTCTCTTCACCTTTCAGATATTTCTGACAACAATTTTATGAGACTGATTTAAGTGCAGATAAAGAAAAACATTCATAGTTACAGTGGAATAAAAATAGAACCTGTGTGTAGGTAAGCTAGTAGGCCAACTACTAATCTACTTCTACTGATAAAATGTTCCCACCATTTCTAATGTCACATATGCTAGTTTCCTTTTCTCTGCTCATTTTTGTTTACAAAAATTTTATCTTTAATAAAATTAAACACTCACTTCTCTCTTTATCTCAAAACAAGTGAATTATATATCAAATTAATTGTATGCAGTCTATACATAAATTCATGCAACAGCTAAAAAAAATAAATAATACTAACAAAACTGACATTAACAATCATTATGACACTGAAAATTAAGGTGTCATTTTTAATACTGTCAGTGATACAGTCAATCCGCAGTGTAAAAATTATAATATGTAAAAATACATAAATGACATTAGAATTTGCAATTCACAAAAGTGACATTGATCATGCTGTTAACACATCCATTACATCACAAATGCTGGTGTAAATATGTTTAAAAAAATATTATTTAAACATAAAATTGTTTGCTTTAAAGCAAGATATGTATTAAGTCACAGCATAGAAATTACAGTTAACAAATTTAATTTATATTTTTATAGACCAATCAGCAGTTGGTGCATCATATGGTCAACAACACATCACCTCTTTTTCTTCTGCTCGTTATCCTGCGGTGGAGTACAGGCTCTCAACCAACTCACGCCAAGTTTTCCTATCCTTTGCCATTACATGCAGCTCACGTGGGTTCTGGGGCCCCATTATGGGGAAAACAAGAATAGACCCATTGCCTCTCCAACGAGCATGTCATAGGAGTTGACTAATTGGGGACTTCCTTCAAAGCTGGAGTACATCTGCCCGAGTGGCAAGAAACAACCAACTGCACATAAATCGCATCAGACAGCAGAACATGTACTAGCTTTCACTAGTGTATGAACAAACTGAAAGAACATTAGATTTTGAAAAAAAAAAAAATGAAGCTTGATGTTAAAATCATATAATTGAGAAAGAAGTATGTAAATCCTTTGTTAGTCACCTTTTACGACATGCTTGTTAAGAAGCAGGGTCTCTTCCTTTTCCCAATACAGGAAGAAAAGGAAAATAACCGCCTGCATTCCTAAGCATGAGCTATAATAATACAGTAACAATTGGTAACATGAATTCCAAGGGACTGACAAATTCAGAGTTTGTGTTTTAAAAATCTGTGCTGACTGGAAACTAATAAATACCTTGCTGGAACCAAAGATTTGTCCATGTTAACTAATGTTCTCCTTAAACAAGTTTATGCTAACCAGGTTTTACTGAAATAAAGTTTAAGGGCAAATTTTAAAAAAAAAAGTTAAAAAAAAAAGAGTAAAAATGATTTTATAAGTGTCATGCTATTTCGTTATAAAATAAAAAAAATAAAAGGAAAATTATAAAGAATGCTCTTATTTATCCTTCCGGTGCTTTTTAATATTCTCTACTCTTGATTTTGAGTGTTCAATAATTTGAGTGCGCCCAAATCTGTTAGTATTCTGCAAGCACCACCACGCAAACAGATGAGGCACAACAAACAGTGTCAAGTTGACTGTCCAGAATACAAGTGCCGGTACTCCTGCACGGGGACACTGAAAGGCCTTGGGTGTTAGGTGATGACATGCGCCAAACATGTAAGAGAACTGTGCCTGAAAAATAAAAAAAAGAAGCATTTTAAAAGTCATTATTTTAAATTCTCAAAGACTAGAGAGTAAGCGTACAGTTTTGGCAATGCAGGAAATGTGACTGATAACTCTTTTAAACTAGTTTTATTTTTGAAATGATTCCCCCCCCACCCCCCCCCCCCCCCCCCCCCCCCCCCCCCCCCCCCCCCCCCCCCCGCCTAAAAAAAAAATTACAAAATAAAAAAAAAAAGTGTGGAAATAACAATTTAACTCAAATGTTATCTATTCCTTGTATGGGTTCCTGGGCTTCATTTTGTGGGGAAAAAGGAACAGACCCACTGCCTCCCTTAACAAGCATGTCGTAAAAAGTGACTATTTAGAAACTGGACACTCTTCCGAATAACGGTCCCTTATTATTCAAAGACAAAAAAATTCCAATCAGGGCCTAAAGAGGTCATGTAGTTAAAATTATAAACCGGAAAACTACGAACTATGCTTTGCTTTATTATATAATTTCATTTGAATGAAATTTCAGAGTCATCGCTAGTACAGTTGATAAGTATTCTGCCTGTCACGCGGGTGATCGGTGCATGATTCCCCGGCGGATAATTTAAAAAAAAATTCCTCACCACGGCGCTTTTGTGGATCGAAAATTATTTCTCCCCACGACGCTTAACTCTTAACATTGCGCAGAAGTGGAAACTGATGCCCAGCGATCAATGGATCAAAAATCATTCCTCCTCACGTCGCTTAACGGCAAAAGTGAAAACTGTTGACGATGATCTAAACATTGCTACCCATCAACACAGCGCTTCAATGGATCAAAAACTATTTTTCCCCACGACGCTTAACTTTAAACATTGTGCAGAAGTGGAAACTGATGATGGTGGCCTCAATTATTTCACGGCGCTCAACGGCAGAAGTGAAAATTGATGATGATGATCTAAACATTGCTACCCATTGATCAATGGATCTAAAACTATTCCTCCCCACGGCGCTTCAATGGATCGAAAACTATTCCTCAAATGGAAACTGATGATAAAGGCCTAAATGATTATTGGTACGTATTCCACTTCTATATTTTAGTTGTTCCTGTTCCATATGTTTTATAAACTCTCGAGGCTCTAAAAGGGATGTTTTTGGCAGTAAATAATTTGGGAACGGTATTCGGAAGAGTGCCTTGTCCCTCCAAATTGTGAACACATCTGCCTGAGAGGTGGGGAGCCAACAGTCGTCATACAAGTAAGCTAGATCTGTAAAACAGATGTATTAGCTTAGCTCAAGTTCTGGAGCAAGACTTAAGTCATGAAGTGGCCACAAAACCAGAACTTTCTGCCAGTTTACAGATGGTGACAATTAAGAAGAGGCAGAAGAAATTAAAAGTATACATAAATATTAAAATAAAATAAAAATCTGGATTATAAAATGGGCCAATCCAAGATCTTCTAAAAATTAACTTAATGATTTAACTTAAAAAACATGATTACATTAAAAACCTGTAAATTCATAATGAAAACTGTTACACAAACTAGTTAATTACAAGGTTGTAAGGCTAAGAAACCACAGTTGACAAATTATATACAACTGTAAAGCCTTTTGTTTTTGAGCTCGTCGTGAAATGATACTTTAAAACTCAAAGTAAAAATAAAATTATAAACCAATATGACTTCATTGTACTTAAAATAAAAGTTAGCTTTAAACTTTACAGGACGCTGCAGAATGAACCCCAGCATCTGTGGGCTGTTTCTAATTTTACTAGGTAACAGTCAGTACTTTGCCACTGTTTTCTAAATTGTTGACACAACATACCATAAATGCAAAATAAATGCAAAACAGTCTGCTGCCAAATCATCTGCAGCTTGAATTTAACCTGGTACTTTGGAATTATGAGATGTATTTGTAGTGCCTAAGCGACAACCATGCTTAAGATAAAGTGAATTTCATGGCATTACTACAAAAGATTAGGGTTGCCTTCCAGCCTGCTGATCCTGAGTTCTGAATCCCGCTATCTAGGAACATGACACTGTAGGCTCAACTACAAATTGCATAAAATAAAGTCTGTATATGGTTCCCACAGTGTGCATGTGAGATGGGACCACAAACACCTGAGCAGATTCTGCAGGCCTGCCCACTATACTAAATCTACAGAGAAACCTGGTCTCAAGAGCAAAATGTGGGGAACCACGGAAGACCTGCAACTGATATGCAAATTCATAGAGGCAGCCAATCTGACAGTCTGACCTGAGCATATGAAACCAAATGCAAAGAATAAGAATACCCATGAAGGTGGAGATTAAAAAAAATACATGGGTTCATAGTTAAACCAGCCTAAAATCAGTACCATAAGATGTCCTTGGAAATAGAGGCTGCTGGAGTGATAATGACCACACCATCCACTGAGTGTAGACTGGTCTTGAAATATATAAGGTTAGAACAATAATGCCGCAAAACACTACAAAGTATGGAAAAATAATTTTTACTTTTACTTAATGCAGGCGTATAAAGTATTAGACCTACAGCCAAACTGGCCACAAAAATTTCCAACGTGATTCACATAAGGATTGCATTCCAGACCCTGGTGTGATAAGTATTGTGATGACTCTGCTTTGCATGGTCTCCACGAGTACATTGTGGCAAGCAAAAAGTCCGTGCTACAAGTGACGGAACGAGATACTTGTGGCTGGTGGAGTAAGCGAGGGAAAGCCTGAGCTAGCCTCGTGGTCAGTTGATCATGAGTAGTCGTAGAAGACAGTTTTATGAGTAGAAGCGATAGTCCCTATGTCGTGCGTGTGATCAGTATTTGAATATATCGCGAGCGATAGAAGTCTGAATAATTGTGGAAACATGTTGATTAAATGTAACTGAATAAACTGATGGTATGTACAAAGAAGCCGAGTGGAGTTTGTGTTATCAACCCTAGACGTTTGAGCAGTGCAAGTTATGTTGTAGTAATCATCCAGAGAGTGAATTGTGGCGAAAGCCAATATGTAGCATTTCAAGTTACATTCCAAGGTAGTTGAAAAGGAGCTTCAATCCAAGCGTCACGTTTCATTCCAAGAGACGTGGCAAAGCCAAGAATCATTCCAAGTCAAGCCAAGGTTCATTCCAAGTATGTTCAGCCCTACTACAAAAATTAACAGTAAAGGGACATTTTTTTTGGTAGTAAGCCACCATGGTGTAACACCTAGATGCTCACCTGCAGATCCGAAGATTTTGGGATCTAACACAAATGGAGCTGGATTTGTATTTAAAAATTACCTCGGCTCCCAGGTTGACCCAGCCTTAAATGGGTACCATTTAAAGTCCTGGGAAGTAAAGATAGCCGGCATTATGCTGAGCACACCACCCAATGAGTGGCAGTTGGTCAGAAAATATAGGTCTAGCACTATATGGCCAATACAGCCTAGAGGTGTGGTAAAGTGTATTTTACTTTTTGAGCTCCCTCTTGTTGCATGCAAACTACCAAGAAATCTTTAATAAAGAAAATATAATACCCAAGTACTAACCTGTGCAGCAGCCCCGGCATGAATCAGAGACCAGTCAGTCATCCACTGTTGTCCAGGATGTAGTAATCCATAGACAGCACTCAGATAATAGGTAAAAAAGAAGTATCCATATGTAATGATCTGTTAACAGAAAACATGATCATTATTACAGAAAAATCATGGTTACAATGAACAAAATGGTTATACGTCTTCATTTCTTACTATTTCATAAGGTGTTACATCTAGTGATTGTAGCAGTCAATGTAGGTAGTGTTGGACCTGACCAGTTCTACTTTTCACTTGGACTGATATATTTTCACGCAACATCTAGTTATGCACTTCTCTGATTTTGTACTTGAGTAACGTTCACTGCTGCTAGACTTCTGAACTCTATCTCGACACATTAATGTGTCAGCTGCAGTGCGAAGGTGTGTTGCCCAAAAGTATTATGATAAATGGAAGAATCGGAAATATATTGTTTTGCAACACTCTGGTTTGCTTGTAGACTCTCTTCCTTCTTAGAGTTCACTGGCTGTAAACTCCAGCAGAAAGTTAAAGTTGTTCGTTCACTTCTGGAGTCTGGTCTTGTTCTAGAACAAGTTTTGCATGCGCATCTGTTTTACATATTTGTATGCAAACTGTTGGTTCCTAAGCTTTCAGACAGATGCACTCAGTTGTGAAAGGAAACATTCCCAATTATTCACCTTCTGCTACATGCCTATTAGGGGGGAAGTAAGTCGCCCCCCCCCCCCCCCCCCCCACCCCCCCCCCCCCCCCCCCCCCTCCCCCCCCCCCCCCCCCCCCCCCCCCCCCCCCCCCCCCCATCGGGTCCTGTAACCCATATGCAAAGCTAGCAGACTGAATTACCGCATCGCAAAAGATATTTGTCTGAAAAAGTGCGTCATCAACATCAACAATTTAGAAAGATCTGGTCTAGACAGATTTCAGCCAGGTAACTGGCTCTATCAAGCCACCACCATCATCATCACAAAGCTCCCATGTTGCATAGCACCGTTCTCACCAAAGACTCAATACCCTTGTCAATATCCTGCACTCATAAACTAGAGGACCCTAATGTCCTGTGTCCACTTCTGTGCTGTTCAATCCCAGCTAATTCTTCCAGACACTATTTCTGAAGATCCTTGGGGTTGTAACTAAAGCTATGGAGTCTGTTATTTATGTGAGATTCTCAGCAAGCAGCCAAGTGCCTGCCCTGCAGAAAGATACCAAATCATATGGGATCAAATCTTTTGCAATACAATTTTCTGTCTAGGATTTGATCTTTGAAGCTGTAAATCACAAACATTTAATAAATGTCCTTACCTGAAACTTTGGAAAGTTTGTTGGATCTAACAAATATGGCTCATATACTTGTAAATACTCTTTCATGCTTTCTGCAGTACCACCAAGGACAGCCTGAAAAGATGCATAAACAATGCTGGTAAAGATGAATTATTATTGAGAGATTTGTTTAACTGTCATTGGATTTGTGGTTTACATGCTTGCCTATCTCTGTAGCAGTTATGAGAAGTATTCAGATACAAATTTTTGTAAAATGTGATGGAAATGACAATGACCCCGCCATTGTCTTGTAACCTGTCAATACTGTTGTTAAGCATGTCAAGAGTTTTAAGCATGTGAAAGTTTAAAGATGGCCACCCCACCTTTGGCATGTACTAATAAAGAGCATCATTCTATTCTTTTTCTTTTGTCGTCACACTGATACCAAACTGTAGCCCAGTGTCATGGTTTCCGTATTTGTTTTGCATCTCTCAGGTAGCTTGAATGATGGATTTGTTCATCTTTATGCAGGTTTCATCTACACCATTTCTCCATCTCTTTCTTGGTCTTCTACTCGCCTTCCTCCCAGATGTTCTACTGTAAAAAGGCTGGTCTGGCTGCATTTTCACTAGATTGCTGAACCATTTCATTCTTTGTCTGTCAATATAACCAGACATGGTCTTATTCCAACTTTCTCTCTAATGCTGGTATTCGTAACCCTGTCGTCTAGAGCTGTTAGTGACCTTGCAGAGACAGTGCATTACACGTGTAGTTATTTCTGTTCTAGTGCTTGGCACTGATAACATAAAGTAGGGATAAAGATGCTATTAATCATTTGCTGTTTTGCTGGAAGGGAGACATTAGGGGGTCTAAGCAGTGGGGCTAACCGGTAGGTGACCGCATTTGCCTTCTGGCTTTTATCTCTCTATCGAGTCTGCGATCCTCCGTAAATATGCTTCTTAGACATTTTAATTATTGTTTGACTGTAGTACCATTAACATGAACATTCATGATATTATGTGCCTATCCCCATTACCCCCTACCTCAGTTTTCATGGTGTTTATTCACATGTCATACTTTGTGCAGGCTTTTACAGGCTTCATTCTATTATCCTTTTTTTTAAAATTAGTAAAGGGGTGACAATTATCAGCCAACTAAGATCTTGCATGGTGATGCATATATGTCAGTATGATGTCAGGTGTATAAAGGGGGGCACTGATGAACATTAGATGTAATGAACTCAAGAATGGTAAAGCAGTTAGAAACATGACTTGACAACCACTGCTATTAACAGTTATAAGACATAGAAAAATCACTTTTTTTGGGTGCATCCTAAGATATAGCGAGCAGTTATTCACCAAACAGGCACTGAAATGGAAAACAAATGGACCCCGGAAACAAGGAAATTCAAGAGAAACCCTCAAATGAATACTGATGAGACAGGCTTAAAGAGCTGGACTGGCTTTTACCCATGATATCAAAAGAATTGCATAGGAAAGAACAGAATGGAGGAACAGACTGCGAGCCGCTTGTCAAATATAATGGCACAACAAGATGGTAATGTTGCTAACATGTTTGCCTGTTGGGATAGTGGTTATGCTTAAATCCAGCCAAGAAAGGATGCTACGAAATATTCTGGAAAGTAAAGGTGGCAAGGGTTAAAATGAACACAACATCCATTCAGCTTCTTACATCAAAAATAACTAGGGGAAAAAATGTTTTTTTCCCTAAAAGTATAGGGAGAGATGTAATAATCTTCTATGTGCTCTTTCTTGTGAACTTTGTAAGTTGGTCTTAATTTATCTAAATTACAATAATAAACAAACAGACAATGTATTGATCAGCACTCACAGAAAGTAGAAGAAAGAAGGAGAGGACACATTGGTTCTTAATTTATAACGTACCCCAAACATGAAATTCCTGTGGGAAATCCACAGCTGACCTGACAGTCCATTATGTCAAGGGGTGAAAGTGTGCTGTTGTGTGGTGCTGTTTTTTAGTGTTCATCTAGTGTATTCTAACCCTAACCCTAAACTTGGCTGTAGATAAATCGCAAGAAACTACAACCTGAAAACCCTAGAATTTATTGGGAATGTCTCCCGTGACGAAGACACCTTTTTTAGGGGTGCCCAGTTGACCATGTTCTTAGTGCACTTGTTTCCACAGCGAGGCGCACACGCCGTCCGGAGGTGACAGGTTCGATTCCCGGCACGGTAGCTATCGCTTTCAATTTTTTGTGTGTCTAGTGAGTTCTTTTATATTTCTAATTCTTTCTATGAGTGCCGAATCAATATATTTTCTGTTACTTTATTCATACTAAATAATAAAGCAATTATCTTAACAATTGTTTATGATTTGTTTATACATTAGCAATAATGTATTCATCACTTAAAATATATTATTTATCTAAATTATTGCTGAAAGACACAGCAAAAACAAAATTAATTAAATACTTACCATAGTCCGGAAGACAGCAATAAATATTGCAGCAATAAAATAAATAATGAACAGAAGGTCGAGTGGATGCTTCTTGCTGATCTGAACCTGAAACAAATAATTTTACAGTCATCAAAAAGTATTCATCACAATCAGTTCTTAAACATAAAACTGTTAACATATTAATATCACCTGGTAATCTGGTAATCTGGTAATCCTAGTTTCAGCATCATAGCAAACGGGTCACCCCATTGTTGCTCCGCTCCTGTGCCAACGAAAAACACTCGTAGCTCACAGTGTCACACCATGCACTCAACTCAGAAGCTGGGTGACGAAACCATATCCTTCCAGTCTACAAATGGAGCAAAAATGCAACGGCCACCGCCTGGCAGAACTGCCACGGCTAAAAAAAAAAAATTAAAAAAAAAAAAAAAAAAAAAAAAGTGGCCGTGCTTGGTGATTCAAGATTAACAGTTAATTAACATACACATCGCATACAACAGACAACTTTCCTTCAGGCCTGTGACAGACGTCATTATGCCACTAACTGCTTGAGAGGCGAGAAGCCAACTGTCTAAGCAGAAATAAGCCTGATATGTATGTGCAAGCAGAACTCAGGTCCCGGAATAAACCATGGATGAACAGCAGGATTTTCCACCAGTTTACAGCCCCTTAACGAAAAGAAGAAGAAATCACACTGAAATAAAAACAAATGTCTGCAGAAATTAGATCTGTTGGCTAAAGGTGCAAATATGGCAGCCATGTTGTAAATGGCACATAGCATTTACATATGTCTGCATGAATGCAGAGAAGAAAAAAGAAAAGAAAAAAGAAAAATATTTTGTGAGAGGCCTTGGATAAGTGGGGGAAAATTTATTTCCTGATATTCAGATATATTTTTTTCTAGCTTGTCTATGTGCCTGAAGGAAACCCAAAATAAACATAAGTATTCCAAAGCAATTTCCAGCCATTTCTCTCTAAAGTGGTACACAAGATTATACTTTAATAATCCTGAAGCAAAATATGACAGTAAATGTAAATTACCGGTGCAAACTTTTCAGGCTTGATGGGCAATGTGGTCAACTTCATGCTGGCCATCTTTGATTTCCATGAGATTACCAGGTATCTATTTTAAGCTGGGCTGACAAGGCGCCAAGTTCAGTTTTGAATAAAAATCCACCCCAAAGCAAATGTGAACCTTAGACCTTTGGGCTGGCAGGCAAGCATCTAGTCACTATGCTACTGTGGTTCTATCTTTAATCAAATAATGCACAGATTATCATGTGACTAGTATGTAACTAGGTATTCATAATTTCAACAGCTCTTGCCTTTTCAGAAGTTTCAGCTTGAGAAGGCCGGTCATGCAGAAACTTAAAAGCAGCAAGAAGAGGTAACAATACATATGGAATGTTCAGCATAATTGATAGCTTGAATGGGTGATTTCCTGAAAATAAACAAATAAGATATTCGACAAATGACTAGACATGTGAAATTCTAAAATAATTTTACAAGGTGTAGTTAGACCACATAAAGATTACATTTCTGACACAAACACACATAAGTTTTCTAATGAATGTACAGAAAATATAATGATGCAATATTGTAAAGCAATGAGATGTCCAAGAAGAGCTGCAGGAGTAACGAGAAGAGATATAAAAAAAAAGGAATGAGTTCACAAGAGAAAACTGACACAGAACCAATACTAAATTACAGATATTAACAGCAAATCAAATGATTAGCCAGCACCTTGTGACACCACACAAAGCACACACCAAAAGAGAAGGACAGAGAGTAAAAGGTAAAACAAGAGTAAGATGGAAAGATAACATTAGAGCAGCTCTACAACAGCTTGATGAACCTATGGCAGAGGTAGTAAGAAGAGAACCTTATATCTGCATCGATACACCATAAGTGGTAAAAGAGGAAGTGAAGAAGAATGCACGGCAACTACTTAAAAAATAATTACAGTTTTAGTGTTGATATTCTGTTGATGATAGTGGTGGATAAGGCAGGAGAGTCGGAGAAGCAGTAGCATTACCAGGAGTAGTAAATTTTTTAAAAAGCAAAAGATCCTTGTCACAACACTGACACATGCTCCTTATTTGTAAAGGCTAATCAGCACTTGGTAGACAGTGTGGTCAGCAAAAACTCAAATAAAAATCAGTTAGTTTCAGTTCTACCTGAAAGTCAAAAGAAAATTAATCGTCATCATTATTAACTTCCACTTTTGCAGAGGAACAGTTTACAGCCCATCATAAGATAGCTAGCACTGGTTAATGTCATTCTGTGTAGATGATTAATGTCTATAATTATATCAGTCTATATTTTCTCAATGGGTGCCCTTTTGCTTTCACAAATGATCATTTTAGGTATAGCACCTGTGTTGGTGTCTGTGGCTAAGGCGTTGCGAGTCCGACTCGTGAGCCAGCATACCGCGATCGAAACCCACTGCAGGCTGCGTGGATTTTTGTCGTGGTATGGGACGTCGCAGGTCGACCCAGCCTAAAATGGGTACCAGGATGGGCTGTCCTGGGAAAGTAAAGACAGCCGGCGTAATGCTGACCACATTACCCACAGAGTGCTGATGGTCTGTAAAAATATGGGACGCTCTGCCCATATGCCCAATGCGCCGAAAGGCGTGAAAAGGGATCTTTACTTTTTTACTTTTACCTGTGTTGGTAGTTGTGGCTACATTTTAATATCGAGTAAATAAATCTTATTGTGACATCTCCTGGTAATTATATATTGATTTATGTTGCATATTATATGACTGAAATCTAGTCAAATAAACACAAGATTAGAAAATCAAAAAAGTAAAAATTATAAGAAGTAAACAAAAGAAGCATGCTGAATGGGTCAGAAAAGGTACATAAAATTCAAGAAAGTATTATGAGAGTGATCATTGTTGTGACCACTGGAAAGATTTATGAAAAGAGAGACAGAAAAAGACAACATAAGATCTTTTACAGCCTTTTGTCATGGCATGGAGGTGTATCAACACACGACTGATACATGAAGTTGCCGATTGCAGATAGTGGAGAGGCATGATCCCACAGATCAGTCGGAAGGCATTTGATGATGATTATACACTTTCCCAATTATGACAACTCGGTACACTGGGGTAGTCATTGGTGTAGACATTAGGGCGACCTAATTTTAACTTCTGTGGAGGCTGAACAGGGTATGGGATTTGTCCTTTAGGACTGACATTCTAGATGTGGCTCAAGAGGTTATTGTGGTGTTTAACCATCAGGAAGGAAAATTCCTTAGCCATTTACAGAAACTTTCTACACACCTGCAGTTCCACCTTGAAGGAGAACAATCATGCTGTCCAGCATTGTGCCAACCCAGTATAGACCAACCTCACGATAACTTTTTCTGTAAACAACAAGAAAAAAGGAAAAGATATCAATAGATGCATAAAAAGATTGTCTATTGTTTTATTTGACTAACAATTTTCTTTGCAATACAGTAAAACATTGTTAACGTGAATTCCAATAGACTACAAAATCAAGAAATTGTGTTAACAAATGTGTGCTAACCGGCGACAAATAATACATGTAATATAGTACATCACGGTCAGAACCAAAGTTATGTCATATTAACCATGTTGTTTTAAGTGAGTTTGTGTTAGTGAGGTTTTAGAGTAGACTGATGTAGACTTGTTTAGATTGGCTGGATTGTGTAGCGAAACTGTTCTCTAGGACAAGGCAGTAAGTCCCACATCAAACCCCGTTATTAGGCATCCTTTTTTTGACACACGGACAGGTTACAGTGTTTCTAGTCTTTGCTATTGAAGAGGCCAAATCAGCAAGCTACAGAGAGGAGATGTTTAAGGGAAAATCAGCCTCTGTACAACAGAGTATTATCAGTGTTTTTATATGGAGTATGTGGTAGAGACTGTCACTTCTGCATTGGGCTTTACAGTCATAGTAGATGCACTGTTCCCAATGGACAACTCAATGATCAGCAAGGTCTGACGGTTGCCTACCATTCTTTGCTTTCTTTATGCAAGCAGACTGTCGGCTATGTGGCTAAGTCGATGTGAACGCTTCGTAATGCCGGGCTGCGAGCCATGCGCCGTGCGTTGGTTTCAACAGTGGTATCAGAGAGCAGACCGTCCAGAAAGCAATGGCAAACTACTGGATGTAAATTTGCCTAGAGAAACCACACAAAGGCCAGGGGCTGCTGGGATTAGTTCTGCAAGGTCTTGTAAAGGATACACAACTAACCTTTATGCAAGCAGATAACAAATATATTAGTTAATAGGACTGAAATGTAAGCCATACCACAGGGATTGGCGGTTGGGGGGAAGGGAATGAGTCAGGCATCTTAAGCCTTACCTTAGGGATGTGTAGGACAGGGGATCTTGAGGATAAGGATTTAGGATTACATTGCTAGTGCAGTCACTACAGACTGCAGGTTGGGATTTTAATTTTGCCACTGGCAAAAAACTGGTAACCATGGAGATGAGATGTCTGAGAAGGGCTGTAGGAGTGACCATAAGAGATAAGATCAGGAATGAGATCATAAGAGAAAAAGTAGGCACAGAACCAATTCTAAATTACAGACGAAGACAGCAGGTGAAATGGTTTGCCCACTTAGAGAGAATGCCTTGTGACACCATACCATACAAAGCATACATGGATAGAGAAGGACGTAGAGCATGAGGTAGACCAAGAACAAGATGGAAGGATAACATCAGAGAAACTCTACAACAGCACAATGTGCCTATGGTCGAGGCGGCCAGAAGAGCTAGAGACAGAACCTTATATCTCCCTCGACACCCATAGCGGTAAAAAAGGAATTGAAGAAGAAGAAGAAGAAAAAAATCCACCCCCTTACCAAGGACTGAAACCTTTTTTGCCTGAATGAGAGTCTAGCCTTCTCAACTATTCAACTAGCTACTCCCCACTATCCTATAATTAGTTTTTTTTTTTTAAATATCATGCAGGAAACAAGTAGAAACTTACTTTTTACAGTAGAGAGTAATCATTGTTAAATACAAAGCAAAATGGACAATCCCGTCCCAGTAATCTATAGCGGCACCATGTGCTGTCATCAGATATGGTTCTCCTTCAACAAAGTAAAATCCCATGAAGTTAGAGATGAAACCATCCAGCTCCAGACCGATGCTCAGATCAATCATACAACTCCATGTGAATGCACTGAAAACTAGTGAAAAATTACACTTATTGTAAAAATTATAACAAGAGAATCACTCACTTAGTACCAGACAAATGACCATCAGTTCATTACTAAATGATAACATAATTAGCATTGCTTAATTTCTTGTGCTTCATTTAATTGTTACATTTTGTTCTGCTTCTTAGCATTCATTGCAGCAAGTTCTGGTTGTTTATCTGCTGCTGGACTTTGGTCTTAATCCAGAACTTTAGCTTTGCATGCATATCCGTATTACAGATGTAGATTATTTGTATGCAGACTCTTGGTTCCTTGGCTCTCAGAAACACTCCTAATTAGTCCCTTCCTGTGACATGCTTGTTAGGGGGTAGTGGGTCTATTCTTTATTCTTCTACATGGAGCCCTGTAACCAATACAGGAATATTGTTACATTTACTCCTTGTTGCTTAAACTTTTATGTCCAAAAAATTTTTTTTTGTTTTTTTAAAAACTGTTGGACTCAAGATCTATTTCTTTAATCTTATTTTCTGCATTCACCATTAAAAGGGCAGTTTGCATGTTGTGCGGTGGTTTACAGCTAGGCTGTGAAATTTCACCTTAGGCCCAACCCATCTGATTTCTGCAAGTCCTTAATTAGTTGCCTGTTAAGGAGCAGTTGGTCTATTCCTCATCTCCTCCCCAATCTATCCTATGAATAACGATCCCAAATTATTGAGGCTAAGAAAATACCCTAACAGGGCCTCAGTGTTTGTGACTGTGCAGCCAGGAAACTGCTAATTATTGAGTAAACAATGCGCTACTAGTGCCGCCTTGGTAACGTCGCGTAAGTTCTATCAATAACCCTTTAATCGATAGTGTCATGGTTCCACTGACAGATTCTGGTGGCAGTGTCGTAATTGCAATACTTCTTGCCCTAACCCTAAACCTAAGACCCAGGGAAGAAGTTAAACCTAGCACTCAGTGTTGGAGCTGTTAAAATACTCTATGATTTGGGACCGTTATTTGGAGGAGTGTTTCCAGCGGTAAGCGGCATATTCGTAGGAAAGAGCCCGGTATTTTCTTAGCCATGATAATTTGGTACCGTTATTCAGAAGATAGCCCCCCCCCCCCCCCTGCCCGAGGTCCTAAAACCCATACAAGGACTTTAAAGTCATGAATTATTTGATAGAATGAGTTGAAGCAACAAGCACCTGGGGTCAACATCCACTGTGAAATATCATCCTATGCTTTTAAATGCAGTTTCATCAACCTCACCTGTAAATGTAAATTAAAGAATCATTTTCCACACCAGTAATACATGGGGCATATGATGCTAGACTTATTTTTTAGATCATTCGATGGCCTAGACAGGTGATGTGGTCATCTTCACTTCGGGAGGGAAGGAGTAAAAAGTTGACAGCCAAAGAGACAGATGTCCCAGGACATTAACTGGTACTTAATTTTAGTTGCGTCGACACGGGAGCCAAGAGGTCAATTTAAAAACAATAAAATAAAATGAAATTTACCCAGTTTACGCTTAGAGCCACTATGTAACCGTGGCTCCTGACGTTTTCATTTGTAAGTTTAAGTAGGAAAAACTTTTTCTTACTTAAAACGTATACAATACATAATTAGTTTATCCTCCAAATAACAGGTACATATTATGGCAGCCCAAAACACACCCTGACAGGGCCTCAGTCACATGTAAATTGCGGACTTCCCGCGACTACTGCCACCGCAGAGAGTATCTCCCATGCCACTATGTGGAGCAGGGCTAAACTGGATGGCTGGGACTCACGAGCAAATAAAATAAAGGAAGCTGCAAGAGATGCGGTAGCTGCTGCTCAAAGAGTCCCAGCCATCTAGTTTAGCCCCGCTCCATGACGCACATAGCGGCGTGGAAAATACTCTCGGGGGTGGCAGTAGTTAAAGGAAGTCCGCAATTTAGGTAGCAGGAAGTTCACATTTTACATGTGACTGAGGCCCTGTTAGGGTGTGTTTTTGGCCGCCATAATATGTGCCCGTCATTCAGAGGATAACCGTTTATTAACATAAAAATTAGAACAATTTCAGCCCAATTTCATTATATTGTCATTAAATAATTGTAAATTAAAGATACTCAGTGGTCGAGCCACAATTACATTACTGTTACAAATTCATACTATCGTACACTTACCACACATTAAGGGATCAACTCGTTTGAAATATCGTCGAAAAAGAAGTAATGGGCCACCAATTAGAAGAACAAGACAAATGACACCAGCAACGAAGACAGCAAACTGGTCTGTCAATAAACCAAGTCTGCTGAGAGAAAATGATACGAGCCAAGAAGTCTGAGAGAAAAGAAACACTGCAATTGGGACAGTGTATGCATCTGACATTTTCAGTGGCAGAATGTATTTAATAAAACAGAAAAATTAGGAAACCGAAAAGTAGAACTTCGCTGGAAAAGTAGGCGGCTGCCGTTTGAAGGAAACCAGATGTGACCAGTGTTGCCACTTTTCTGTGACCAAAAATATCTAAAACGGTGTCAAAAAATATCTAAAAAGATCAAAATTTGCGTGGAAAAGATCTAGAAAAAACATCCAAATTGAAAAAGTCAAAAGTCACATAGCTTTTGTTATGACTTACCCTACATAATCATGTCCTCATCTTCACTGATGTCTGCCTCACAAGATCCACAGGATAAACTTAGCTTGGATAATGAAGTTAAAGCTTCAGATCCAAAATGGCCCTGGTATGCTTTAGCTGTTCAAATTTCTTTATAAGTGGAACAGTAGGCTTATTTCTCTAGTCTCATCAGGCCGAATGTTAATGGCACGATAGCATTTGAGAGGTCAAATTTCATCCTGTTTTTTAGGTTAGATTTGATATAATTCCTAGCACTGAAAATTCTTTTTACGTCAGCATTTGAGTGGGGTAGTATCATGGCAGACATGGCACTTTAAAGAGCTTACAGAATGGACTGTTTGATGAGGCATCTTTAAATTGTCTCACTTCACTCCAAAACGCGCTAGTTTCTGTTTTGTTTGTCCATTCAGCTAACTTTATTTTGGTTAATTGATATTCTGCTTCCGCGACACTATTATCAGTAGCCCCTAAAAATGTTATAACTTTACAATATTTAGGTATGTCCTTTATTGGCTGAAGTATGTTGCTCACAGAAAAAGGTGAAATATTTTTCAAAACATCTAGATTTTCAGGAAGTCTCTGCTTAAATTGCTTCAATAATGAGATAAGGAAATCTTGACAGCGTTTTCTAAAGTTGTTCTCTTCATTCTCTGTTAACAGTCCTTTTGTTTTTAAATCATCAATTTTTGATTCGATTTAATATTCAAGGTGTGGCTTAGGAGCCAATTAGCTCTCTATAGTGCAAGTGAGCAAATCAGCTTAAGAAGTTGGCAACACCAGTCTTTTACCGAGTGAAATAGCAAGGTGAGATCATCAATTATTTTAACTTTATCAACAAGTTTAGATTCGAACAGTTTATTAACTTTTTGCACTTCCATTAGAATAGGTTATAAAAGGAGAATGAATGACAAATTTTTTCATCACTGTACATTCCATATAGTATTTCAGCTGTGTAACACTTTTCACTTTGTCTTGTTATTTCAAAGTGTGTCTTCAACTTCAACCATTGCTTCATAATTCCTTTAACAGCTGGTTAAATTTATAACCATCTAGTTTTGAAGTCTGACAGAATTTTCGTTGGTGTGGCACCATCATTCGAGGCTGTATATAATGTATTGTATTGCTGTTGTCTGACAAATGATTTGGAAAACCAGTAAAGTGTTTCAGCAATAAGGTATTCCAAATTCCTTGGTAAATATTTAGATGAAGCATGTGTTCATGCTAGCTGCAATGAAGGACGCATACATTTTATAAGTATTAACGATGGGTTAGCTTCCTTCAACTTGGCATAAACGCCATTGTTAATACCATCACTGAGGTATTATCAGTATCAATTACAGCCAAATTCTTCAAGCCTAACTGTTTGCTGATTAAAAGGTCCTTCAGTTCCTAAACTATACTTTCTACATCACACTTTTCAAATTGAACTAGTCCAAGATTTTTTACAAATCGATCAAATGGTCACAGTTTGAAATTGCGCAGTGACAAATTAAAAACATTGCGACTAATACTTCAACTTTTGATCATTCATTTATCAGTATAGTTCTCAAAACAGATGTCAGCGGTGTAATATCTTTAAATGAAACTGCAGTTTTATGCTTTTTTCGTCTCTGCATGACTCTTTGAGTTTTGAATTTTCGCTTTAATTTCACACTTGCAATACTTACAACAAGCTTTGGTCATATCCCCAGTTTTTAATTTTGTCATCATGCAACCACTCTTTCCAAATTTTTTGCTCATACTTTACTTTTGGCATGTTGAAAGGTTTTTTCAAAGTGAAAGCCACATAAGAAGGTGAGCAATTATTTTTTTCAAATCACATGAAAAAGAAACACAAAGTCAGCACAGTGAGGATACGGTTGAAACAAAGTTAGTATGATTTACGCGCGTTTTTATTAATCAGTACCGGGGCTGCCAGATATTTGTGCATTGACCCCAGTGAGACTTCAAAGTTCAAGTAATGGCAGTTGTCACAATGTACGTGCCAGACAAAACAAAACTATTGTAGTAAATATTTTACACAGTAATTATTAAATTGACAATGAAAGAACAAAAAATCTATAAAATATCTAACTCCATATGAAAAGTTTCTAGAAAAATATTTACGATCTAAACGTCAAAAACAGTATCTAAATGCAATGAAAAGGATTTAAATTTAGATATAAAAAATTTAAAGTGGCAACACTGGATGTGATCACGTTTCGAGTACTCTGGACTACTTCGAGTCGTTAATAAACAGAGTAGCTTCCCCTTAATATATGTGTGTGCGTGTGTGTGTGGGTGTGCGCGCGCGCGTGTGTGTGTATATATATATATATATATATATATATATATATATATATATATATATATATATATATATATATATATATGGAGATGTGGTTTTACAGAAGAATGCTTAGAATACCTTGGACAGCCAAAAAGAGCAACCAAGAGGTTTTGAAAGAGGCGGGAGCCCGAAGACAACTTATCACAGACATCAGAAGGAGACAGTCATCATTTTTCGGCCATATAATGAAAAGAGGGAAAATAGAACATGTTGTGATCACTGGAAAGATCTGTGGAAAGATAGATAGAGGAAGACAACGAGAGAAGATGCTTGACAGTCTTGTTGCATGGCATGGAGGTGTGTCGGCACATGAACTGATACATGCTGCGGGAGATCGCAGATTATGGAGAGGCATGATCGCCCACGCCAGTCGGCAAGGCACCTGATGAAGATGATGATAAACAAAGACATCCACATGGGAAAGGGTGGGGGGGGGGGGGGGGTCGCCATTGGTTGACAGGTAGAGGACTTCGTCGCCGGTCGGGAAAGTATTTGGATGTCTTCTTTGATCGCATCAACACTGCAACAGTCCTTTTCAGGGCTACTTAGTGGCGAGCAATGTTAAGCCATTTTATATTGCATGCATAACTTCGTCACAATTACAACCAAATCTTTTCCTTTAGGGATTCTGGTTAAACGTGGCGCTTATTTTTACTTGTGTGTGTGTGTGTGTGTGTGTGTGTGGCCACCAAAGCACCTACTTACCTATTCTTCAAAACCAGAACCACAAACACTATCACCATCATCATCTTCTTCTTCCTCCCCACCAGGACATCACACAAGCGATAAACACCCGGTGACAACGAGTGCCACCATGCGGATAACTCGTGGTGAGGTCCCGGAAACCCTGTTCAGCCATTAGGCCATATAGGCCTGGCTATATTTAGGGCCCTGGCAAAAGCCAGGGTAGGGCTTCAAAATAATTAGAAACTACATCCCAGAAGTTGATAAAGAGAATTAACTACATGTACACTTGCTTGCTGATTGCTCGTTGTACCCCACCCGGACATAACACAAGCTATAAACACCCGGTGACACAAAGTGCCACCATGGGGATAAGGATCACATGAGGAGAGGTCGTTATGGCCGAGTTATATTCGGGGCTCTCGGCAAAATCCAGGGTGGGCTTCAGTCAGTCAAACCTGGACATCTATCTATCTATCTATCTATCTATCTATCTATCTATCTATCTATCTATCTATCTATCTATCTATCTATCTATCTATCTATCTATCTATCTATCTATCTATCTATCTATCTATCTATCTATCTATCTATCTATCTATCTATCTATCTATCTATCTATCTATCTATCTATCTATCTATCTATCTATCTATCTATCTATCTATCTATCTATCTATCTATCTATCTATCTATCTATCTATCTATCTATCTATCTATCTATCTATCTATCTATCTATCTATCTATCTATCTATCTATCTATCTATCTATCTATCTATCTATCTATCTATCTATCTATCTATCTATCTATCTATCTATCTATCTATCTATCTATCTATCTATCTATCTATCTATCTATCTATCTATCTATCTATCTATCTATCTATCTATCTATCTATCTATCTATCTATCTATCTATCTATCTATCTATCTATCTATCTATCTATCTATCTATCTATCTATCTATCTATCTATCTATCTATCTATCTATCTATCTATCTATCTATCTATCTATCTATCTATCTATCTATCTATCTATCTATCTATCTATCTATCTATCTATCTATCTATCTATCTATCTATCTATCTATCTATCTATCTATCTATCTATCTATCTATCTATCTATCTATCTATCTATCTATCTATCTATCTATCTATCTATCTATCTATCTATCTATCTATCTATCTATCTATCTATCTATCTATCTTATTTTACCCCACCAGGATATCACACAAGCGATAAACACTCGATGACACAAAGTGCTAACACGTGGATGAGGATCACCCTTTGAGAGGTCACAGAAACCGCATCAGCCATTAGACCATATTTATGGCCGGGCTATACTGCGGCCCCTTTCAAGAGCTAGAGGAGGGCTTCAAAGTACGAAAAATTGCATCCCACAAGGGGTTGACCAGATACCTGGACATCTATCTTCTGTCACCCCACCATGACATCACACAAGCGATAAACACCCGATGACACAAAGTGCCATCATGTGGATGAGGATCACCCGTATGTAGGTTCCAGAAACAGCGTTCAGCCATTATTTATGGCAGGGCTATATTGCGCCCCTGGGAAGAGCCACAGTAGGGCTTCAAAAAACGGGATTTTTTTTTTTTTTTTTTTTTTTTTTTTTTTTTTTTTGAAATTGAAATGGTTAACCCAAGGTTAACACACATTTTAATATATTTCACTGTATAGCTCTAAGCCACACAGACCAACGCAAGTCAGACTTG